TCAGATGCAATTTTACCACATTTGTGGCATTTTTTATTTTTTGACATCTATGTCTGGCTGTGTCGTTTTCTCAATACATCCCCTGTGGTTTATGGCAGTCTAGAATATTGCTATAGTTTAGTCCATATTTGACGTTTGTACTGGTAAGCTAAAGTGGGTTTCAATTATGCAAAATGTTACAATTAGCTCAAATTTGTATTTCATAAACAAAAATATATAAGTTAATGTCAAGTTAAGTTTTTGTTACTTTCTTTTTATATAAAAGTAGAAAAATATAAAACAATAGGATTGTTACAAAATCTAATAATCTAGAATATGTATTAATACTTTTTTGTAGTAAGTGTATGTAATAGTAATAATATACAAGTAACATATACAAATTATATATATATATATATATATATATATATATAAGTATATATCCAGCAGATAAATATAGCTCGACTTATAGGCAACCCAATGCAAAGGGGTTTATTCAGTGAACACAACCAGCTTGATGTACCTTATCCCACTTATTACACAGCTACTTGCCACAGAAGTAAAGAATTTGAGATATGAAACATTGATCTAAGCTGTAATCATTTTTATAATAACTCTTACTGTAATAACACTTTACATAAACGTAAAGCTTAAAAATGAAAACTAAAGAACATTTTTTTAAACATCTGGCTCCAAAAATTCCAGAACAGTAGTGTGATAGATTAGCACACACATACACACACGTAAATAATATATTCAACACACACATATATATATTTAAAAATATAAATTAAATGAGTTAATACACATTTGCTCACTAACGGCAGAGATGATCCGCAATATGCAGATGATCCTGTGTTATTAGTTTAAAGTTTGTTAACAGAGAATAACGTACCTTGGAATGAATGCTGTGATTAACCAATCAGAAATAAGTATTCCAGAGAGCCATGTAATAATGTATATTAAAACACAGCTGAAATGTTGATTTATTTTTTTCTTTTTGGCTTGGTCCCTTTATTAATCTGGGGTCTCCACAGAGGAATGAACCACCAGCTTATCCAGCATGTGTGATACGCAGCGGATGCCCTTCCAGCTGCAACTCATCACTGGGAAACATTCATAAACCCTCATTCACACACATACACTACAGACAATTTAGCCTACCCAATTCACCTATACCACATGTTTTTGGACTGTGGGGGAAACCGGAGCACCTGGAGAAAACCCATGCAAACACGAAGAGAACATGCAAACTGTAAACGCCAACTGACCAAGCCGAGGCTCGAACCAGCGACCTTAAGCTGAAATAATAATAATAAAAAAAAACAGTCAAATTGTAATTATTGACCAGTATATCTAGATATCAGTCCATAAACAACAAAACAAACATTTATTTGATAAACAACTGAGTAAGGGGAAATAAAAAGTCACATTTAGATTCTAATTTTGTTAAAATAAAATAATAATAATAAATTCAGTCTTTACATTGACCTCTTTATCCCCATCAGCAGCCAGAGATTGGATAAAATAGAAAGCACATAAAAATTTAGGAAAAGAGAGCGAGAGAGAAAATCACCCAAAAGCATCTCAGTAATGTCCCATTAAACTCAATCAAACCTTTCTAGGAGAAATAGCTCAATTTTTCCAAAGAATGGCAAAGAAATACATTTTTTTTTTGGTCTAGGCTTTCTATCACCAGAATCAAAGATCTATATTCAGACACTAGATTGAGCAATTCAGTACATAATCTATTGCCATTCAAAACATGCCACAATGTACAGATTCTCAATGAATGCACAAAGCGCAGTTGAAGTTGAAAGTTGTAAAGTCTGTAAATGACACTTTTCCAAACTCGGCTTCCATGTCAATATGTTAGAAGAGCATTACAGTATATCCACAATGAATAGAGATTTCCATAAACAGTGTGATTGTAACTAAGATAAGTTTATAAAGTGCTAAAATTAAGTTAATTTGATCCTCAAATGGATTGGAATTAAGTATGGCATGACACAGTGATTTAAAATCGCAGAGGCAAATCCAGGCAAAAGCTTCCCACAGTCCCCTCATTTGAAAGTGATTACAAGCAATAACGCGTAAGTGAGGAAATTGATTCCTGATGTTTCTACATTCAGTTCGATACATGGCAGTCTGTAGTTAATGCCACTATGACCCGACTCAATTATTTTGTGTCACTGTGACCCAGACACATTTTGAGTTTTATGAATTACAGTCAAAGAAAAGGCTGTATCTCAGCAACGCTTTGGAGCTTAATTATTAAAACTCAGAGACTTGCTCAAAATAAAAAATAAATAAAAAAAGTTATTTTACTTTCTGCTTGATAATGATTTTATAAATGCCACATTTAAGCCAATGTCTTTCTTGCCATTTCTTGTTAATTTAGAAATTTACAGCAATTATTACAGCAATTTTAACACTTTGCAGCAATTTAGAAGATATTTACTGCAAAAACACCCAGTAAAATACCACATACATTCTTTACAATTTAGTACTGTATTATGCACTACATTGTGGGGAATTTTAAAGCTTTTACAGTATACTGTAAGAAATAAAATCATAAAAAAGGACAAATGACTGGCAGCTACAGCTGCCAAATAAAAACCATAAAATTAGAGTAAAATTTCTTTGTTGAAATAAAGTGCAAAAAATAATAAATCTACAGATATTTTCATTAAAATGTTTACAGAAAAACAGTTATTTTACAGACTTTTCCTAGATTATTATGATCAAACACCACCAATAAAGTGACTGCACTAAAAGTTCAAGAGAAAACAATGTTATTTAAAATAATTTTTCCTTAATCATTACGATTAAACACCTTTAATAAAATGCCAAGACATCCTCATGGTCGTAATTTAACAGTTTTATTTTGGATCAAATTTTTTTTGAAAAAACAGCAAACGAGATACAACTGTTTAAAATTCTCACAACTTTAAAATTACAGTTGTTTCATTTTATTGAATAGTATTTATGTAAAACATGTAGAGGTTTAAGTTATATGGAATGATTCAGTTCTAAATCTTAAATGAAATGGAACTGTAACGTGAAGGGGACGCTGACAAATGAGTGCAGATCCAAATGCAGCTTTATTACACAGATGGTCAGGCAAGCAACAGTCAACACAGGGGCAAACAGATGTAACATTATGCAGGGAATCCAGAGTCATGGTCAAATAACAGGCAAATGGTCAGTCTCGGCAGCAAACAACGTAAACAATTAACAAACAAAGCAAGGCAAAAGAAGAGAAACCCGTCATAATGTTCACAGTAACAGTACAACAAGACTAAGCAATTGGTCTATGCTGCTTTTAAAGTGCATGTAATCAGTTCATAACGATCCTCTGTCTGTGTGTGTGCAATCAGCGGAATCCGGAACAGGTGCATGTGAGCGCTCTTTGGTGTGTGACTTTATTGAACGGATTTGATCGTAATAATCTAGGAAAAGTCTGTAAATGAACAGTGTTATTAAGAATGTTTTTCTGTAAACATTTTTATGAAAATATCTGTAGATTTAGTATTTTTGCACTTTATTTCAATAAAGAAATTTTACCGTAATTTTATGGTTTTTGTTTGGCAGCCGTAGCTGCCAGTCATTTGACCTTTTTTTAGGATTTTTTTTTTGTTTTTTTGTTTTTACAGAGCAAGTAATTACAATTTATTACTTTAATTTTACGTAATTTTAAATGTACTTAAAAAAAAAAACAGGAAAAAAACTGTAAATAATACGGCAATTTTATTGTATAAAACAGACAAATTGCTGTAATTTGTCATTACTTATATAGTACATAAAATAACAGTCAAGCTGTTAATTTACAGATACTGTTTGTAATTTTTACGAACTTTTGAATATAATTTAAAGTAACAGAAAAAATACTGTATAAATAATACTGTAATTTCCATGTATTAAAAACAAAAATGTCAGTAATTTGTCTTTAATAGTACCTAAAATGAAAGTTAAACTGTTAATTTAGAGAGATTGATTGTCATTGTGCTAAGTTTTGAATATAATTTGAAATTACAAAAAATTACTGTAAAAAATTTAGAGATATTTTCTGTAAAATTAGTTTTTTTTTTTTTTTTTAACAGTGTACTTACTGCCCATTAGGAATTTGCTACAGTAATCAATGTAATCAAGTACTGTTATACTGTAGTTGAAAACAAAAAATGAGACAGTTAATGAAAAAATTATCAATTAGCATCATTCATCACAAAATGTATTTAAACTAGGTTGATGAATGAAAATTGTCTTTTTAAACCATTTAGCATGGATATAATCCCAATGAATAATAGAAAATGCTGTTGTACATGATTTTATCACTTATTTAAAATATATTCAATTCAGTAGTAAATCCTAAAAATAAATGCTTTTTACTGCTGGTGTAAAATTTTAAAAAATACAGTAAAAGTACTGTAAAAATTGTCATACTGTAAAATAAGCATTTTATTTGACATTTTATTGTATTTTCACAGTTTTGTATTTCCTTTGAAGCGCTAAGGGGTGACATGGCGGCTTAGTGGTTTGCACAATCCCCTCACAGCAAGAAGATCACTGGTTCGATTCCCAGCTGTGTCAGTTTGCATGTTTTCCCTGTGTTGGCATGGGTTTCCACCAAGTGCTCTGGTTTCCCCAAACAGTCCAAAGACATAGGTGAATTGAATAAACTAAAATTGGTTACAGTGCATGTGTTTGAATGAGTGTTTATGGATGTTTTCCAGTGCTGGGATGCAGCTGGAAGTGCATCCGCTGTGTAAAACATATGTTGGATAAGTTAACGGTTCATTCCGCTGTGGCGACCCTAATGAATAAGGGGACTAAGCCGAAGGAAATTGAATGAAGGGTTATGAAGTAAAACTATGACAAGCACATTATTACCTTTAATCCACAACCTTGGCAAATGGCTATGAGTGCATTCATAACAGTCTGGATCACAGGCTTACTGTTGCAAAAATTATATGTGACATAAGGACACAAGAGCTGACACCGTTTGTTTTCTTTTTTTATAGGAAAAAGCATCCAGGCATCCAGGACAAACACGAGTACATGAGCATCCTCAGGACTGTTTGCTGAGGCTGGGGATTAAAAGGTAATAACAATGTTGTAAATAACGTTCTGATTCTTTCCCTCTGAAAACAATCTGAAATTGTTTTTCAGATTTTGCCAATTAAGTTCAGATTCATAAGAACACCATGAGAATGGCCTTGGTTGAGGCCAGAGATCCTGAATCTTTTCCTTTAAAACTGTATAAAATCTTTTTCTTTGGCTTTACTGGTGTTTAACTTATAGATGAAAAAAAAATATATATTGCCTTGTTTTAGGGTTAAAGTGGTTCTGATGGACTTTTTTGCACTCTCAACCTTGCTTCAGTGTGTTTGCTGTTGAAAAAGATCTGGAAAGCACAAAGTCAATCCAAACAGGGTTTATTCTCAATAAGCTCTGTTTCTGAACTCCCTCAAACACCACAGCTATAGCCTTGAGTTTTCTTCCAGCAATGTAAATGTCACAATAACCTAAATTGAAAATAATTCCTGCCCAAGGCGTGTTCAGTTCAGCAGATCCTAATTGAGTTGGGTGTTGCTGTCATACAGTATCCAAATGACACAGCTTTACAAACCAAAAGAGACTTATGCCATTTCTTCCATAACTGTTTTTATTTACTGTGAAGTTCTAGTCTATGGGCTGTGAGTCTGTGTGTGGTGTTCCAGTCTATGTGTGTGTGGTGTCCCAGCTTATCGGAGGTGAGTGCGTGTGTTTTAATCACAAGCTGTAAGTGACGTGATTGGTACACAGGTGCAGCTCGCTGGGATGTGGATAGAAACCATATTTGCTGTGCTCTTAGGAGTCTGAGGGTTTTGAGCGATCATCTTGGCATAGAGCTCGGTTAAGCTGCGGTGACTGCCTCATTTGGCCCTGACTCTTCTTTTCGTTTTCTTTATGTTATTGTTCTGTTAAAATAAATATTATTTTGCCTGTGATGGTTGCGTCTGGTCCTCCTTTTTGTTACAGTTTCAGAGCCGGCTGTAACAAATGGGGGCTCGTCCGGGACTTAAACCCAGGACCTCTCATATAGGGTTACACAGAGCTTATAACATAACAAAGGGTGCTAATCAATGACACACAGGTCGAGGTTATGGAGGAATATATGTACCTAATAACAGTTATTGACAACAGGTCGATTTGATCAAAACACACATACAATTATTAATAAGGCATATATCAAACACTGTTTTCATTGCAACGACTCAACTTTTTTATTGTAGAGAAAGTTATTCTTAAGACCTTTTACAATTGTAAAAAAATTTGAAAGTACGTTGTCCTTTTCCTTTATTTGCTGGTTTTCCCCACTGTTTATAAAAAACAAGAAGCACTGTACCACTGTATATGGGAATGTAAAGGAATACAGAACTTCAGGAAAGGTGTGAAAGAAATAATAGAAAAGATTCTTGAGGTTAGTAAACCAATGTCTTTATAATTTTTAAATTAAATTTATATCCCAAGAAGATCAGGTTAGATCAGGAACGACGGAGCATATATTTATGAGTATTTGTATTCTGCAAGCCAAATGGCTTGTTTCTTTAAATTGGAAAAGTAAATGTGCACCAAATATAGACCGTTGGCTGAAAGAGATGGTAAAAAACATGTCAATGGAAAAAAACAACTTGTATATTAAGTAATAAATACATAATTTTTAATAAAGTTTGGGGACCTTTTATGTTATTTTTTAAAAGGTAGTGGAGTTGGAATTGTTTCAGTGGATTGGTAAGAAAAAATATATTGTATTCTGATGTAAAATACCGAGAAAGCTTTTGTTTTGTTTGTTCATTTGTTTTCTTGTTGGTTTATGTTATATCTGGGACATAAAAAATATGTATGTATGTGTTAAAATATTATAAAAAAAATTAAAAAAAGAATCGTCTTCAAGGATTTTTTTTTTGTGTGTTTAAAAATTTTAGGAGTTCTCTTTGCGAGGTCTTGCATCCTATTATGAACCGCAGGTGTTAAGGATGGCTAAATACTAGAAGATAGCACACAGGTCTTAAACAAATATTTGAAATGGATGCCCCGTGGGTGACGTCCAAGGACCATAAGCTGTTCCACAAATCGTTATTAATTTACTTTTGTGCCTGAAGGAAGTTTTAAACTAAACTAAACTAAAAAAACTAACTAAACTAAAGGTAACTCTTTATTTTAATGATCCATTTGATTATTAGTTGACTGTTTGCTTAATATCTGTTGATACTGGTCCTTCATTACATTTAAGTATTTACGATACTTCAGACATTTAACTGACTATAAGAAACTTTGCCAGTGCATGTCAACTTACACTAACCTACATACATTAAATCTAACGAGAATTAGTTGGCATGTAGATGCAGTATAATTTAAATTCAACAATCAGACCATCAAAATAAAGTTTGACTAGTGAATTTAGTTTAATAACTAACACATGTTTTTCAGCCAGCTTTCTGCATTTTGAGTTTGGGAGATTACTTTAGGAGTTTAATATGACAAAATTTTAAAACATAGGTAGATACTTTGTTTTTTGATTGCTGCAGTGGCCAAGGCATGTGCTGTAAAGACTCGAAAGGAAAGGGGTCATAGAGCATTTACATTTAAAGAGACACACAAAAATGGCATTTTCTACTGTTTAAAAATGCTATTTTAAAGCATGGTATTATAAATCACAAAACCATTCTGGGAACACTAGAAACTATTAGTCTTGGGAGCATTGGACCCATGTAAACACAGTATAAAATGTAAACAAAAAAGCAGTTAATAATTTCTTGCATTTATATAATAAGAAAAGGCTTAAAACTTGTTTGTTAATATTAAGGATGACAACAGTCTTGGGGAAATATCAGTCTCATGACTTCCAGACTCAACCATCTTGTCTTTTAGCTACAAGAGGAAAAGTGTTACATTTCAAAGCAGAAATTGCTAGCATCGGCCTGTTATTTGTCGAGGCAGTGATATATTTGTCATGCACGGAATCTGGCAGATAGGAAAGTGCTATCTGACACCACAAGCATTTTATCTACTTTGAGACATGGTTTATTCTGCAAAGGCTATTAGTTCAGTCGGAGTTGGGGGGTTAGTGTTGTCGGCGATAAATCATTTCGGTGGAGGCGATAGAGGATGGCTGCACTTTAATCTGGCACTCCCCTGAGTTTTCATTAATGCCCTCCCCAGAGGTCCAAGGGACAACATGACCCGATTGTCCGAGACAGAGCCGTGTGCGACTGGCAAATTGGCTGATATTTTACCAAAAAAAAAAAAAAAAGTGATGACAAACAGCCTGGCCTCTGTCCTGATAGCCAGCAGAGAGCTTTAACACACAGTGACAAGTGGACAAACACAGTGCAATGGCTGACACCCAATGCATTTAGCTGGCATTTCACCCACACCATCATTGCCTTTTCAAAAAGTGATGAGCGTGAAGAACGATACACTTGACATGTTTTGCATCTGTCATAGTTGTCTTTTCATAACAAGATGTATATTCGCTGCTGCTGCAAATATTTTGGCCCTGTTACACCTGCAATTAACATCCATCTCTTTATTGATGGAAAAAAAGAAACAAAAATTGTTACAGTGTAAATTCCAAATATGTTTAAAATTGCAATTTAATTGTAATTAATTGTAATCTAGAATCAAATCATCAGGCAGAATTGTTAGGTATTTTTTTAATGGAAGCCCCATATGATAAATATACCCAGCAGACACAGGACGTCAACATGACTTTAGATTGACATTCTACCTTAATGCCGTGGGGACATTGCTTTTTGGGTGGAAAGAAAATTGGGTTGACGTTAGAACCCAATGTCAGACCAACATCGGACAGACATTGGATTTTTGTCACTTTTCAGCGGAACCTAAAATTGCATTGCCAAACCAAATATCAGCATCTATTGATGTTACAGCTTGATGTTGTGTGGATGTTACCATTATGACATCTAGCAGACATTGGATTTTGGTTAAATAAATGTCAATATTTAATGTCAATATGACGTTAAAGGGCCACGAACCCCCTCCCCTGTCTAAGCAGGGTGTTTTTACACCTCTAATTTAAAAAAAGTCAGGAAAGTGGGTGAGTCCAGCTCTGTTTAGGTGGGAGTGTCGAGTGGCGAAAGAGGGATGAGTTTGCAAAAAAGGGGTGTTTCGGTTTGAGCATGCGCTGATCTTCAGAGGCATAACAAACACAGACATGTGAGAAAGACAGTGACTGCGTTTACATGGACATTAGTAATCAAAATATTTGCCAAATTATTAATTTGTTGACTTTAACTGCAGTTTAGCACTTTCACTTTCATTCAGGAACATTGCATGCATGCCCCTGTGACAAACAAGATATTAGATGGGAGGAACTGCTTTAAGAGTGTAGTTTTAATGAAATGTTTGATACCGCATGTCGTATGGCGGAAAAAAAAAAACTGTATTCCTAAGTAACTTAGATGCACTTGGTAGGTGCAGAGAATAGTAACAGAAAGTCTTGTGTGTATAGACTATCCTGTCACAAAATGCGGCAAAAATCCTACATGACGATAATAGTTTGATTAAGGTGTTTACATGTTTACATTTAGAGAGCAGCATTTACAGCAGATCTTTTAGCCCATAATATTGTTGTGATAGTAACATACTGTAAACTTAGTAACTAAATCATTTTGACTAAGGGAAGTCTTTAAAAACTGAAAGAGTACTGCTGACAATACTAATTGCCTCTGAATAAACAAACTAAGAACACTGATCACACACTTCAACAAGACTAGTGGCAAATCTGGATTTTACCATTTCAAGAAGCGAAAAGATCTCGGGTAAAAAATGTTCCCTGTAAACATATTTTTGTCGCATGTTAGCAGACCACTGTAATCCACTGGTGAGTCCAGCTGCGCTCTCATAGCGGGGAATTGAAAACAAAACCTTCGTTGCGGCACATTTATAAACGCAACAATGACGACCCATGTCTTTAAACAATTCTTCTTCTTCCACTTGTTCTAATTAAGGTTGGCAACACAATGTGGCGTCTCTCTGCCATTTTAACATTGTAACAGGTAAAAACAATCTTCAAAGCTATCATGCATTTTAATAAAGTTACATCTCATACACAATAGAGTGCGCTGATTGGTTGGAACCAAGTATATCTCTTGAATTAATGATGAAAGCTCAAAGGCGTCACTTTGTACTCAGTGGTACAGACAGCCAATCTAGATTCTGGAATTTACAAAAACAACCAATTTTCACTTTTTAGTGAAATATATGTGTCCTAATAGTGTTTTTAGCAGC